TCTGAGCAGCAGGACCAACACCGCTGCAACCCTAGGAGGCCACCAGAACCCAAGGTAGGGCTGCTGGGGCCAAGCCAGTGCTGACTCCAACCTCGCCTACCCCACCCAGGGTAATCTGCTGCGTGCCAGAGGGTGTGTGGCACAGGTGTTCCCCTTGGACAAGCAGCAGTGGCACAAGGTGTGTCACAGCTCCTTGTTCCTGGAGAAACAAATATGCACACTTGTATGGATGCGAGCTAAGGAGCTACATAAAACCATAAAATATCACCATTATCACTATTAGGTCCCTACTACACATTACACTTAAGACATGATTAACCAGTTAAGACACATCTTAAGTTGTGACCTAACCACACATTCACTCAATTAATGGCATGTTAGAAGGAGCAATAAACCTCAAAGTTATTCCACAAAAATGTGTAGTAACTTTGTGGCTTGTTCCTATCACGCCATGAACTGAGTATGTGGCCAGGTTTACCCCTATGGCTAGGAGATCCATCAGCTGATTGCAGGAAGTGGGATTGTGTGGATTGTGGATAAGATCCCTTCCCACCTTTATCTGCATATCTGACCAGGGCCTCAAGGCCTGAACAAATGTTCATTGTCAAAAGTTTGTGTTTCTGATCGCATGAATACATTTGAGTTTCTAGAGGGAGCTCTGAGCCTGCTCTCCAACAGCTGAATTGAAATATGCTCACTTTCCCCTTTGTAGCAAAAAGGCACACTTTTCAATGGATGTCTCCATTAGCATTGATTAGACCCAAGGACTACTCACTGGCAAAACAGAGATTTAGCTGAATTAGCTAGCCAAACCTGAGCAGCAGCTGCTTTACAACACAACACATCCAAGGTGCCAGATTCCCAGCTAGTGCTAACTTGTGAAGATCCATTGGCTGAATGAAGCCAAGGGAGCTGTCCTGATTTCCAAAAACTGGGAGTATCTACAGGTGCAAATACCGCAAGGTGGGTTTACTCTTAAGTAAATTACTCTAGAGTAAACTCATAGCAGGCAGGTGGGGATTTGGGAGCAGAATTGCTGCTTCTAGCAGCAGTCTGCTCCTGCCCCCTTCTGCCCTGCACCAGCCCCTTATAGCAGCCAGGGGGAGCTCTAGGCAAGGCAAGGAGCTTGGGTCCAGGAGACTGCTGTCTCCCTGCCCCTGGGAGCTGCCTGCTGCTTGGGCAGGGACAATGTCCCCCTGACCTGGCAGCAAGGAGCTCCTGGCCCTGGCTCCCTAATTGGAGGCAGGGTGCTTGGAAAGAGCTGCAGGGGAGGGGCAGGACCCAGCCCCCTGCCCCAGTCCACTGGTGAGGCTGCTAGCAGTGAGCCACTGGCAGATTGGGACAGGGGGCTGGGCCCTGCCCCTCCACTTCAGCTCTTTCCAAGCCTTGTGTCTTGATCACCTGATTGGGGCATGGAGCTGGGAAAAATCTGCGGGGCTGGGACCTGCCCTGACTGGGACAGTTCCCAGCCAACCGATGGCTGCATGGAGAAGTCTGCATGTGCTGCCCAGAGCTGGCTGAGGACCACCCAAAATAAGAAAGTCCCCAGCCACCTCCAGGTTGCAGGTGCAGACTTAACCACATAGCCCAGAGTTGGCCAGGAGCTGTCCTGGTCAGGACAGGTCTCAGCCAGCTCCAGGCTGGGTGGGGAACTCTCCCCATGCAGGGAGCTCCCAGCCCCTGCTCTGTGATCATAAGCAGGGGCTGAGAGCTCTGTGCTGCCAGGGCAGGAGGGCATTGTCCTGGCCTGGGCTCTGGTGGTGGAGCCCATCCCAGTGGCAGGCAGCTCCCACCCCCTACTGCCCACTGATCAGGAGCAAATTTGCTTTCAGTCGTCCATTTACATGTGCTGTACTGTGCAGTAATTACTTGGCAGTTAATTTGCTTCTTGCATTTGCAGGTAGCAAATTAACTGCCAAGTAGAGGCAATTACTGTGCACTGATGGTCAGCATGTGTAGCTGATGACACTCACTATGTAGTAATTAGCTCTTCTGCTCAGTAAAGCATGTTTTATAGACAGACCCACTGAGCATCTGGCCCAAAGAGCTGATTTTACAGCTTGGAACTGCAGTGCATGAAAAATAGTTGACTGGAAGGGTGAAGTTTACCCTGTGCAAAAAACTACACAAGGCCTATGTACCACTTAAATCCTATGAGTGAAGTGCTAGCTCCAGTGAAATGAATGCCAAAGTTCCCATTGATTGCAATTCAGTCAGGATTTCACCTGCTGCAGAGATGGGTGCCAAGATAAGTGTCTTTTGCCATTTGTGTCCTCAAAATAGGGCTTTAATAGCACTAAAGCAGAGCATGGGCCAAAGAGTGGGTATCTTTGGGGGTGGGGGCTGGGTTGGGGAAGAATTCCACTGACTGCATTCTCACAGTTGTACCTTTATATGGCATCTTTTATTCCAAATAATGCCGAAGTGATAGATTTCTATTATATCAATAGAAGGAAGACAGCTCTAGCAGAGAAGCCAGAACAGCTCACTCTAAAACTGCTGGGGTAGAGAAGAGGTAAGAGAGTTAGAGTGAGTGCCAGTATTACAGTAGAAATATTGGTCATTTTCTGGTTACACATTCCACAGAGAGCATATTACCTTAGGGCACTGTTACATGTGCTCCAATGCATTCTGATTAGAAGGTGTCAGACTAGACTTGATTAATTGAGTTTGCTGCAGCATTCGAGTTAGAATGCTTCAGCATGCTGCAGTGTCTTGTGTGTTTAGCGTTCTTGTGTTTCAAAATGGAGGCAGGGATGCTTTAACTAAAGCTCATCAAATGTCCGTTAGTTAAAGCCCTTCCGCTGCCATTTGAAATGCAGGATGCTGAATACACGAGACACTGCAGGTGTTTTAATTACAGTGGCTACTGGGAGCTGCTCTAATTAACACTCCCCACCCCAGAGCAAGTGTATAGGAGCCCTTGTTAGATTTTGGATTAGCTTTTGTCTAGTTATAGTTTTGTATAAATAGTTGTATAGTTTGTATAAACTATAACTATATTGTAAATATTTGTTTATAAATCCTATATGCTTTCTAGTCTTATTGAAAAGGACACTGCCAAGTAGCTTAGGACCTACATTTGAATGGTTGTGTAATCTAGAAGGTAAATGACTTCTAGGTTCTTCAGCCTACAGTTCTGTCGATATACTGAACAGTAACAACTCCTTAAGGTCAAATTAACCATTTTTTGGGCCCTATCTTGCTTCCTGTTAGAGCTTTCCTGCTCTTTTAGATAGGGAAGGAATGGGCTTTTTTTGTATGGCCATGCAGTAGTTTTTGCCCTTGACGGCAAAAAACCAGCAAGCCTGCCCATAAAATAAAGAAAATTGGCTGTGAGAAAAGTTTTGCTTAAGAATTATGGGTTCTGCCTCTTATTAATAAATTAAATTCCTGACTGGAACATAAACCTGCCACTGAGTCTAATTTATGCTACTGAATTTTGGCAAACAAGGTATGGGTTGAGAGAGGAATAACTTAATTTGGTAAAGCAAGATTTGACTCAAAACCTGCCCTTTTAAGAGTTCTTTTGATAAGTGTAACAGTCAAGCATATGTAAGCATCTCAGACATTACAATTTAAGGAAGGGGACCATCAAATTTATAGACAGCTTGAAGACATATTAAGTCAAATTCTGCTTTCATTTGTGTAGATGTAAACCCATGGGCATCACTAGTTGCAGAGGTGTTGAGTATTTAGGAAATCGTATGCAAATCATCAAACAACTCAGGGTGTTTTTGTCTTTTGGATAAATATGAAGAGCAAATACATATGTTATGAATACTTTTTGATGAACTCTTACCTGTCTTTATAGTTACATGTCCTACCAGTTTTTCCATATAAAAGATAATGAAGGTGGAAATAAAAAACATTTAATTAAGAGTTCCCAAATTCTGATCTTGACTATGTCACTGACTAGCTATGGGCAAGTCACTTTGCTTTTATATCTATATCTTACCAAAGAATTGGATATAAAAATATTTATTTATGACCCAGGCACCTAACAAGAATATTAAGAAGATTAATTAAATAATACCTGTTCAAAATCTTGATCCTTTAAAGTCCTAATTACTGTATTATAAAACTCTATTTACGTATTTTATATAATACAAAATTAGAGAGACACTATCAGCTTAAAATCAAGTTACTTTTAGAAACTGAGTTAAGAGCAGCTAATATGCCTCGTTAGGCTTTCTGCCAGTTTCTGCATTTTTAGTCACATTTTCTCATTTTTTATTTTCCTTTCTCTGTTCATAAACAAATAGGCAAACTGACTGGCTGATTATAGAGGGGAAACATCTAAATTAATTGTCCATGATGTGCTGTCATATACCCAAAGTGAACCAACATTAAAATTAAAAGATAATTTTGCTGGTCTCTCTCATTTATGGTAACTTTAGATGATATTTGCATCATTATAGGTAATATTTTCAAGCAGAAGTGTGATTTTAAGTTTGCTATGATCAAATCAAATAAATAATAAAAAATATATTATACATACATTTTTCATATCAATCTGTTGGCAATATTTTGATTTATCTGAGCTTATTTTGTCAGGTAACATGATTTATTTTCCTTCTTCCATGTATAATCTAAAAGAAAGAGTTCAGTATTTTACAAATTGCTCTCTCAGATGTTGTTTCATCTGTTATAAACTTTAATCCCTCCAGCAAGATGGCCTCTCAGTGTCTGAGCATACAACAAGTATTGCCAGAGGTGATCTCAGTATTGTCTGCATTCTTTAAATTTTGTCAGTTAAGCTTTTTTTCCTTTGGCAACATTACTTTAGCTCACACAGAGCTAGCTCCCTCTCTTTCATATTAAATTGCTTTTATAACTTTTGGACATTTTAGAAGAGGCTGAAATTATGAGGTCCTTTCATTAAATATATTGATTGTTACGGCATGGCATCTAACTTCACATGCGTATGACCTAACTTGACTTGACTTGATCTCTCGTTAATTGCTTGCAGTCACATGACCATCTTTTTCTTTACAAAGCTATAGGTTGGGCCTGCAGTGTTACTACTTCTCCCCAAACAAACTGCACATGTTGTGAACATCCTGATTGTGGTTTTTCCCAGTTACAGAGGAAAAACTTCCAGGAAATTCCAGGTGAACAAGGTGAGGTAAAGACGGGTTGATGTGACCCTCTGCCTGGAGGGTCATCAGTTTTGCAGAGTCTCATTTATTGTATGCAGAAGATGAGAAATATGCACAATAAGTCAGCTTCAAATGGCTGTGGTACTTTATAAAGCATGGTGTAAGACATGGTTTCTGCCTTGAAAAATGTGTGATCTCGCTCTAAAACAGACAAGATGCAGGACAGAAACATGAGAGAGAAAGAAGAGGTCAGGTCTTGAATGGGCTAAAGACTGTGTTTGTATCTACTTGCTTCTGCTGGCTGCGCATAGGAGCTTTTGGTGCCCAGGACCAGAGCATGTGCACATCAACATGTTCTTGGTGCTTTTTCCAGCTCCACTCAGCAGCAGCTGTGCTGTCAAAGCATGAAGTGCTTTCTGGGAAGGCACCAGAATAAATCGCAGCAATCAACTGAGGGCATGGGGGCATCTACCCAGGCCTTGAGCCAGCTGTGGGGCAGCAGCTGAAGCTTTAGTCCACTCAACAGAGGTGAAATAAGGCTGCCCCCAAGAAAGGAGGGGTCTGCTGCTGCAGCAGGGCTTTGAGCATGAATATGCTCAGGGTTTTGTTGGAAGAACTGGAGTTTTGCTGGAAAAGCCAAGTAGACCTAAAAGCATGGCTAGAACAGGACCTCTCAATTGTTGTTTACCTGGGGTCACCCGTCTAGGACACAACAATTCACAAGCTGAGGGGAAAAAAGGAAAATAAAAAACCTAAAAAACAAAACAAAACAAGAAGATAGTAAGCACAGAGAGAAGGGCTTACTCCCTGGTTCCCTTCTGCTGCTCCAGTTCTGGTTCCATCCACACTGCAGTCCTGCTGCAAAATCTCTGGCTACCTCATCCCATCCCATCACCACCCATTTGCTCAACACTGTCTGAAGTAACAGCACTACCACAGCCTGTGACCCAGACTGCTTCATTATCTATCAGCATGGTCTTCTGTAGGATTTAGGTGGTTTCCAGCAAAAATCAAAAAAAAAGAGTGGGATTACCAAAAGTAAAAGGTTTAGAACCCCTGACCTCCAGAACTGGGAAAAAGGAATGGATGGGATGGCATTTTCTCTCTACCTATCACACATGCACACAGATACACACACACATGCATGTTTCATTTAGTTACTGGTTTCAGAATGCCCTGAAGTACTTCTGTTGCTGAAAAATAACTCTTCCCTGTTTTTGTTATTTTCTGTTATTTTTTCTCTCAGTCTTGTATTTTCACATCAGTTATATTCTCAGGCTTCTGTTAGGAACTCGTGATTTTCCTATATATCATAATACATCATTCTATATGATCCATAATTGCCAATTTCTTTTGTCACCCCCCTGGAAGGCGCATGTTTTCTATAAACACATGCTGGCTGTCACATCTTAATACTGCTGGCAGTTAGTTTTCCTTTTTGTTTCTTTCATAGGATAGTGTTGATCACAGCTGTATGCATTTCATGTAAATCATTTTTTGGAGTAACTGCAGCAAGGACAATTTTTTTATTCTGTTTTTTATTATTATTTTTCAGCCCCACCTCTAGCATTAATGGCAAGTAAGTATTAAATTGTAAAATGAGCTGCAGATGCAGCACAATAGACAGGACCTCAAACATGACCAGAAAGAGGAAGTTAACTGTGGTAGTCTGAAGTCAGGTAGAAGTTCAGGGTAGATTTGCATCTTATAGACTAACTAAATCAGAGATGCATAAGCTTGTGTAAGCAGCAGTTTATATAGCATCTGATGAAATAAGTTGCTGCATACAAAACCTTATGCATCTCTGAGCATGTATATATGGGCATTAATGTGCCGTAATTATGGTGCATTAATTTTAGTATCTGCAATAACAGGTACTAACTTAATGCACTGTAATCAGCATTATCACGCAGGAGCACCAGTGCATGTCTTTTACGTGATGCTAATGTGCAGTAGACTAATTCTACTGCATATTAGCACATTAGCTTGGCTTTCTCCATGATGCAATAATGTGCAGTAGAATTAGTCTACTGTGCTTTTAGTGCCTTGTGTAGATGCGCCGTCTGAGACTACAAATTCAAATCTACCCTTCCTTCTGACCATCCTTTAAGGCTTTACACCAGACTATTCATTCTTATCAGTGGTAATTTTAACACAGTTAGGTGTACACATTAAGATATACCCACAATAAAAACAAACACAACATGACACATAGTGCAGGCCAAACTGACAGTACGCTTTGTTTGATGACGGAACTTAGGACCAGACTCTCAAATATATTCAGACACTTGTATCCCATTGGAATCCATAGGCACCGGAATACCTTTGACAGTTGAAGTCTTACAATCTTTGTTTTTATTTCTTGGCCCAAAATGCACCAAAATGTACACTCCTGTTTGGAATTTATTTAGCACTGTGTTGTTTTATTAATGGTATGATCTGAAAGTTTGTTTTCAGTACATTACAGGCAGTAAAATACAGTTAGACCCAAAATATGATGGGGTGTTGATCTTTAGCTTATAAGTATGATGTCACATTCTTATTCTTGTTTTATCACTCTCATCTCAGTCACGTGACTTCAGTGTGTAATATCTGAGCTGAAAAAAAATTGAAGCATTGGATTGCACAATTTAACTTTTTTGGGGGGAAAAATATCAGGAAAGTATTCTTTAGCAGTGGTCAGATTCAGACAACACACTCAATTTCTATTATTATTTTTAGTCTGTCCTGTTGTGCACAATAGACGTTTTGCAAATGAACTCAGTGGCAGCAGGTTAGGGTTTGTGAGCACGCAGCTTTTTGCAATATCTGATTATAAAGTATATCATTCATATTAGATTTAAATGTACCTTTTCCCCATATACCAGGTTTACCTGGTATTGTCCCTAGGTATGGAACAATTACACCGATTGAAAAAGGGGAATGCAATTTACTGCCGTTCAGTCAAATCTGCTTTAACTGTTATATTCAGTTGTTCTATCCTGCAATAAGCAGAAGCTGAAATGGAGGCATTTACGACTGTCCCATTCCAGTGTAGGGCCAGAGAGATGAAACTGTTAGAGTGGATTTGTTGACATGCATTCACAAGCAGTGAGTCCCCTTCGGTTTAAAGGAGTGTGATTGTGATTACTCATCTGTTTAAACTCTTCATTTATTATTGTAAATTGTTGACATCAGAAGTGCTACCTCAGGAGACTGTGACTAAAGCAAACCCTTGGGTATGTTAAAAAACAATTTTGTATTTTTTGAGCTCCCACATCTGCCCTGTGTGTGTTTTCTTCCTTTGATATATATTTTAAAGCAAGCATTACAGTTCACAAGTAGTTACATTTCAGTCAAAGATAAAGTGATCCTTAATGCATAGTTTGTTTTAGTTGATTATGAATGTGAAGCATTTTGAATTTTTTAGATGAAATTTGCTATAGAAATGTAAATCATTTTTAATTGTCAGCATTATTTGGACCTTGCTGGGTTCAGCAATGATTCTGTATGTGAATGAATAAGTTGTAACTAAAACTGCTGGTGGTGGTGAATATTCAGAGAATAATTTACATGATAGAAAAACCTCCTTTTATTGCTCAAAGAATATCTGGCTGCAGATCCTTATTTATTCATTATTCAGATTTATTGGTTTTTCCTGTTCTGTGGACTGATCATCAACAATTGCCAGTTCACTGTAGCTAGCTAGTCGAGACTTAACATTGGACATTCAGGTTGTGTTCAGTAGTTTCCAGCAGTCACATAAGTCCCATGGTATTTTTTCTGTTTCCTAACTTACTGACCATAAGACTGATTAAGGCCCAATCCATCTTCCATTAAAATCAAGGGATAAATTCCCCTTGACTTTTCTGGGAGGTGTAGTAGGCACGTAACCAGGAAGAACATGGTTTAAAAAAAGGCTATTTAAAAAACTAAGAAAAAGTATAAGAAAGCTATGGCTCATAGAGAGAAAAAAGACAAACAAAGTCAGAAGATGATAGAAAACATAAAGCTTTCCCTTTGTGGGTCACACTGTTCTTATTTGAGGCATCATTGCTAAATAGGAATTAGTCTGTTCTAAAAGGTTGGTTAGCTGGGTGCAGTTTAAATATTTTTTTTCACAGATTCACATGAAGTGATGTCATTTTGAATACTAAAGGAATCAGTAGAAGTTCTCCCATTGACTTCAATGGGGCCAGGATTCTACCCTTTGATTAAATTAGATATAAAATAAGTAACAGCACAGTTGGAAAGGGAGACACAGGGGAAAGAGGACGAAGAGAATAGCGATAGAAACAGGGACCTTTTCAAGATAGACAGGAAGAGGAGATGGCAGAAGTCTAAGTGACAGGAAAAGACAAACTGGGAGGAAATTAGCATAGAACACAGGGTTACACAGTATCTCCCATCTGCAGAATCTCCTGTTCTTCCTGCTTAGTCCAGATGTCCGCATCCTTTTGCTATTACATAGAAATCAGGCTGTGTGAAATATACTTAGCTCTTCCGAGGCTCTCTGTTTTGTTTTATACCTACTGCTAAGGCAAATACATCTATCAGACTAAAACTGTGGTAGCATAAGAGCCACAGAATTCATCTCTTCATTTCTTAACTCTCTTTCTTTATTCTTTCTATCGTGCTTGAATCTGTCTTCACAACAGCCACAGTGGCATTGTCACCAGGTGAGGTAAGTCCATAAGCTTCTCTGAATATATGTAAGTAGTTTTAGGGTCCAATTCTGCCTTCTGCTGAGCCACTGATCTCACACAGAAATTAGGAACAACTGAAGGAACCCAGCTCTCTGAAATCAGTCCCTTTGTTTGCAGTTTATTCTCTCCAAATATAAAAGTCCTAGCACTGCATTTTGCATTTGTTAGTTATCAGACAATATGAATTCAGCCTTCTTTACCCAAGGATATTTGGACCAATGTAACCACATTGATGCATTTGTTTTATTAAACATTCCTAATATGGACACCAATCAAAACACAGTTTGCATCAGTGTAACTTACCCCAATAAGTAAGGTACAAAACCAATCATACACCCATGCAGTACATTTCTGGTGGACGGATTGAAACCCCACAGAATAGGGAGGAATTCAGAATGAGGTAGGATATCAAGATCAGAAAGGATATGAGCTCTGGTTCAGTCTGTCCAATGATCCTTTCCAAAGGTTCTTTAAAAAAAAATGGTATCTGATTTCTCTTCAACTTAGCCGTGTAAATTCAATTTTGACGTACAGGCTTACAAATCACAAGTTTTTCGTCCCCAAGCACATATTGTTTGTACAGTATTAATAAGTGCTATACAGTACTGGGGGTTGGGGGAGAGAAAAGCTCTAAGACCTACCTATTGGAGTCGTTCCAGTTGGCATGAGAGAGGGCATGGTTAGGACACTTGCCTGGAAGCTGGGAGACCTGAGTTCTAGGTCCCAGTACACTGACCATCTAATATAAAATATTCTCTCTGGTCCAAGGAATGCTTAACTGCTACCATTCAAAGTTCAGTGGCTTCAATAAGAGGACTTGAGAGCCCCACTGCAAAATGCTCTACAACCTGGTGGTTAAAATATTTGCCTGAGACATAGATTCAAACCCTTTCAGGGGGAAGAAAGGATTGAACCTAAGTGTCCCATACTCTTGGAAGTTCTCTAACCTGTGAGGTTAGAGGGGTCTCCACACTAGATGTGCTGTACAGAAGGATCCAGAAGATGTATTCTGAAATGCCCTGCAGGTGAGGTAGGTAAAGGGACTCCTAAACTGGGATTCCAACAGAGGTTCAACAAGAGACAGATACTGACCTACTGTCAAGACCAGGGCAGTCCTGGACATGCACAGACATAGAACTTTAGGCACCTAACAAAATGCACAGACTTGAGCCACCACTCCATCTTTGAGTGGTGGCTTTGAGGTTGTAAATTCTGAATTCATCACCTACAGTGCCAGTTAGGCAGGAGGTAGGTACCTAAATCCTTTTGTGGCTCTAACCCTACAACAGAAGATACAAAGCAGTAGAGAATTAGGCTCAGTCTCGTGTCACTGTTTCTGATTAATAATGGTTTGTTTTACATTACATTAGGATGAGAGATCAGAGCAGTGGCACAGTAAAGTTTGCAAATGTGATTGTCAAGGAAGTTCTGATGGCGAATGGTCCCATGGAGGCAGTCTCTTAGAGTGCATCCCAGGTAAGGAATTAGTTTTCTCAGAGTAAACTTTAAATTATGATCCATTGTACTTCACCTGCTTTCTCTCTGTACCCTCAAACTGATTACTGATACCTATATTCACATGTTCTAACATCCTAAAGACTTACGCTTTAATCTAGGTCTCTATGGATTCTATAATAAACATGATATTGCTTTACCGTATACAGGGTCCAGCTTTTACCTTGGATGATCTTCTTAGCTCCAATATATTGTATTCTATTACTCAGAAATAAAGAAAGCATTAGATCTCAATTCATTGCATTGCTGATCATGTGCATTGCTGTGATTTGAGTCATAGGGTTGGAGTCAGTGAGAGAGTATGAACACAAGCTCTGTCATCCATGTAGTAAATCAAATATACTATGGAACAAAAGTCAAGTGGACACATTATTTGTAGAGCGTTATTACACTCATGTCTGGGGTAGTGTTCCCCTCTGAAAAATGTATAGTATTTTTACTGTGTAGGGAAGTTGCTATATGGAACATGTGGTACCTCAGCTTCCCTTATCAATTTCAATCCAGGGTAGCCATTTACTCAAAGTAAACGGGCCTTCCTGCCAGGCACTATAGTAGCACCTACTGTGGGCAGCTAACTTGGGAGAAGTGGTCCTGTGTCTACACCATACTACGGAGTAAAATCTAGGGTAAATGACTTCCTAGCAATTGTGTCATTTATTCTCAACCTAAGAGTATGAGCAGGTGTGTAACGATCAGATAAGTCAAAAAAGAAGTTCCTTCAACAGGAAAGAACAAACAAAGGAACTAAGAAACAAAGGCCATGAAGGTCTAAGCTGTTGATTAGACTAAGGATTTGCCACAGTTTCAGCTGTTGGTAGCTGGCCAGAAGTATAGCTCATCAGAGAAAAATCTTCAATGTAGCTAGGGTCCACGGAAGTATAATGCAGATAAACAGTTAAACCTATTCTGAAGGCAGGGTGAGATCCTTACATGCAGAGAGTCATCAGATCTATTTTTGAGGTGAAACCCTGTCCACACAGAAGTCAATGGCAAAATACTCATTGACTTCAGAGAAGGTAGGGTTTTCTGCAGGCAGGATTTCCAACCTACATCAGTGGATGACTACCAGTGGCTGGAATTGTGGCACATTGCCAGTGTAAACAAGGCCATAAAACATCCCAAATGAGGAATCAGGATTATTCACATGCTGCTTTATTTAGCCAATGTGGTGGTGACAAATGCTGAGATCTGGCGCCTTAGAATAATTAAGAATGGAAACTGATGGACAGAAGAAGGGAAAAGCCTGTTGCTGAGGAAGTTCTACTTCTGATTTGGTGTTACTGAGAGAATGTGGCCTAAAGCTAGGCCTTGTGGCATAGTTCAGTTACTTCCTAAGAAGCCCCTCTTGTAGTCACAGGGTATGGTGCAGAAGTGACTCACCTCATCTTTGTATCGAATAAAGGATGCTAGTCTGATGATAGCTATGTAGAGTTAAGGACAGAAGACACCACTGGATCCAGGGCTGTTCAACTTCTGGGGGCTGCACACCAGGCAGGGCATAGATCAGGGGGACATGCTCTGCATGAGCAGGCAGGAAAGACCCCTAACACTTTGAGGCCTGCATGCAGCCCACAGACTGCTAGTTGGACAGCCCTGAACTAATCAGACCTTCTGTTTATCACACGTCAAGACATTTCAACTAGTTACATAGGACTGAAAAACTCATACACATGCCCAGAGTATGCACTTACCTAAACTAGATGTAGCAATCCTCATTAACCACTTGGCACTGGTAATACCATGGTGTCTACAGAACCAAAACTACAGCCCATCATTTTCACAGCTTCTAACAGAGTTCAGACTTCTAAGGGTTCAGATTTCAGGAGTGCTATCTCCCCTCATTCTCAAGTCTTCTAATAACAGCCCACTTAATTCCAGTTAAGGAATACACTTATATTAAAAAGTAGATAGTGGGAGCAAAAAGATGCTATTTACTTTAGCACTTTATTCACTGAACCAATATGTTGATAAGTAAAGCTTTTGTAAGGTAAACAATAAGCAAAAACTTGGAACTGGCACCATATTATGCAGCTAAGTGAGTTGTGCTCTTATCTAATATGTAAGAGAGTATACCTTGTCCCTGAGTTAAGCCCTATATCTTGTGTTTGATTAAATTGTAATTTCTAGCAAGACATCTAGACCTAATCTGGTGATGTTGGGAGATGGAGAATCTACCACTTCTTTTGGTAGTTTGTTCTGAAAATTTACCATCCTCACTGTCAAAAAAGTGTCATATTTTTAATGGTGTCAGTTTCCAGCTACTGGTTCTTGTTAAGCCTTTCTGTGCTAGACTGAAGAGTCTTTTACTACCCAGTTTTTTCCCCCTGAAGGAGTTATATTATAATCTAGTGACCTCACATTCTCCTTTCTGATAGCCTAAAAAGACTGAATGTAAAGTGCATCAACAACAGACAAGTTGTCATCTGATAAACATGGGCAAAGATTTAGAGAGTGTCAGCTGCTTCATGGTAATTGTCTGTGTGCTTACACTGATCCTATGGTAAAAGAAAAATAACCTAATGTAGCCTACCTCTCTTTCATTTTAAGCAGGCTAGTATTTATTAACTGGAGGGTAAGAGTGTGCACACTGGCAGTTCCTGTGGAGTAACTGATGCACTGTAAAGCACTGCCCTTCTTTATCTCATGGCAACTTGTTCATATTTTATTTTAATGCATTTTTCCACCCTGTAAGTTATCTTTGTGGTACTTCTTTGTGCTGTCTCTAATTTTTCAACATCCTTTTTAAATGTGGACACCAGCAGTGGATGCAACATTCTTCAGTCAGTCTCACCAACTCTATATCCAGAAGGAAAATCACCTACTGACCCCTTCTAATGACTCCTTCTTTATACAGTCAGGGCTCACATTTACCCTTTTTGCCACAGCATTGTACATGTTCTGTTACTTGCTTACTTTAAACCCTAAATCTTATTTTTAGATGTACAGCATACAAGGTTATGGTCCCCAATTCTCAGGCCTGGATATATAACTTCGCAATTGACCTTTACTGAAACATTATTTATTTGAAAGAAAATAACTTTCTAAATAATTCAGATCACTCTGAATGATTACTTTATTCTCCACTAGCCTTTGTTATCAGCAGTAATCTGCCAATGTTATTAGCAGTCCTTTTTTTTGTTTACTTCCAAATCATTGATGAAAATGTTGCATAGCATCAACATTGATTCCTGCAGAACTCAACTAAAAATATCCCTATTTCATGATGAGTATTCCCCATTAACAGCTACTTTTTGCTATCTGTCATTAAGCCAGTTCGCAACCCATTTAACATGTGCTAATATTTTAATCTGAATGTCATAGGGTACTCAGACAAATGCCTTTTGCAAGATGAAATATATTACATTTCCACAATTACATTAATCAACCACACTTGTAATCTCATCAAAGAAGGAAATCAGGGTTTTTTTTTTACTAGAGTAAGTGAGGATATAGAAGCCAACAGGAAAAGTATAATGGGAATTAAGCGCTGTAAAGAATAGCCGTTCCCTCTTATGGAAAAATAAGTAAATTTGTGTGTTTTAGGAGAATAGCAAGAGAAAAGACTTCATGATTTTACCAAGAAGACATTAATTCTTGGATTAAATACTTTGGGCTAGAACATGCTGATTCATTGAAACCAAAGCTTTCTGCAGAAACTCACCAATTTCAGTGAGGCTTTTTTAAGGAAAGACTTCTCAGATCCAGAATGGAATTTCTGTTCAAAAGTAGAATGAGGGAGACAAAAGAATAACCACGTTGTTAGGGCACTCACCTAGAATGCAGTAGATGCTAGTTCAAGTCTCTTTCTTTGAGAACCTCTCAATTGTAGGTGACTGACTTATTTACTCTGCTCTCTCTCCTCTAAGGGGGACTGCTTTTGTACCTTTTGTACTGGGAACTAAGCATACATTGGAGCAGGGACCTGAACGAGGGTGTTCATTCCTGGGGGGGTGCCCTAATTTCCAGGCTTTTGGATTATCTGGGGTGAACCTCCTCTGTTGAAGCCTGTTCCACTTTGTATAAATAAATACGTATTGGATCCAAAAGATGGGGAGAGAGAGAGGCAAGCAGAGTCTGAAGACCAGTGATTTTGTGGGGAGAGGGCAGGCATGAGATGTGGGAAATCCAGTTTAAATGAGCACTCCAATGAATATTCAGTACAGTGTGGAACAGTTCTTGTAGCTGTGCCCTTCTTAAATGAAATGCTTAAAAATGTGGTTTCTTCCTCTTAAATCTCATCCAGATGTTTGCATGCTGCATTTTATCTAAAAGTACATGTTATTGGATGATTTGTGCCTGCTGAAAATAAATTCAGGGCAGAAGTATTGCAATTCAGAGAGATGCCCTATGGTTAGGGCATGAGATTGGAAGCCAAGAGACAGGGATTCAAGTTTCGTTTCTATCTGTTCCCTCCCATGTAATCTTATTCCTTCTGTGCTTCAGCCTCATTCTCAAAATGAGTCAACTCACCTTTTGAGATCAGAGAGGCACCATAAAAAGCAAAATAGCTTTTCTGAGCCCAACTATCTATGCCTTGTACTTTGTGGAATTGTTCACACCTGCAGAAAAGGAAGGCAAAGTGGTGGAAATATTATCATAGAAGAACAGAAGAGTTTTATTTTCATTTTGCTTGGATGTATTTAATTACAGCATGCACAGTACACTGGAGAATGCCAGCATTGCTACTGTTAGGACTTGCAGGTAAGACAGCAGAAATGTACAGTGGTCACCATTAAAAGCAACTTTGTGAACTACCTAATGTAGGAATTTTGTATTAGTAATAGCTGCTCGTATTATGGCAAAATGTAGGCAAAATGTAGAGATTATACTATTAACCACTGTATCATTTTTGCACTAAATAAGTTCAAACTGATGTAGAGCCGTCAGCCTGCTATGCCAGGAGGCCCTTATGCCTCTGAAATACTGCATCTTACAAGCTTAACAGTGGTGGTACTTGGCAT